ACTTGGAGAGCGCCCAGGGAGGGGGGCGGGCTTCCACAAGGGGCCACTGTGCCTCCTCCAGGGACACTGGGCAGTGTCTGGAGAGATTGGGGTTGCTATGACGGAGGGGGGCTTACTGACAGCTAGTGGGTGAAGACACCCCACACGCGCGTCATGCTCAGGTATAGCTCAACGCCTTCCCAAAACAAGTAGCAGAACCCAGGGAAGTGACTCACCCCCAAACCACCACGCTGCTGGCCAAAAGCGGCGAGGGGAAGGACAGCTATGACCATGCCCACCTGCTGTGCGGATGCCTTTCTGGAAAAAGCTACACAGCTGTGTAGCTCAAGTAAATAAACATCCCCGAAGAGTTGCAAATAAGTTCCCTGGTCTGGGGCGTCCCCTATTCTTAGAACTTAGCTGTTTCCAAGGTTTCTCATGAAACAGCAAAGGGTTAAGAAGGAGCCTAGGCGCCACTCCCCCCCTTCATAGAGGCCTCTGGGGGCCAGCGGGATGTGGGCCAGCACCCGGCCTCTGGGAACCACCGTTTCCTGGGTCCCTCTTTTAGAACTGTGGTCAGCCAAGGTGTGCGCAGAGCACAGGACGGAGAAACCAGCCTCCACCGCTAGGCGCTCAGCCTTGTTGAAAAGGGGAAGGACTTAAAATACCTAATTCTGTTCACTAGACCTTTTCTGAGGCTGGAGTCTTCCTTAGATGGAGGTTCACTTTTTACTCACCCTTGGGCTATGGCTAGCTTAATTTAAAAAAACAATTAAAAAAAAAAAAACAACCCAAAAGCAGTATGTGAAAGAGGTAGACTTCCCCAGACAGCGAGGCTGCTTGCCATCTTCTGACGGTAGCAGGGGCTCAACTGTTCATGTGCCCCCCACCCCCACCCCAGGGGTTAGGGTCATGGAATGATGGAGGCTGCCAACTAGAGGCCCTGATCAGCCCCAGCGCTGGAATAAGAGGGTGGCCCAAGCATGGCGAGAACACCCCTGCCTTCATACACAGCCTGGTGAGGAAGTGAGTTCACAGTTCCTTTCTCCTCCCACCCTGCCCGAGACCTAGGGTGCAACAAGAAGAGGCCTCTCCCCAAGATGTTTCTCTCTCCCCGGAACACAGAGCCTCTGCCCTCAGCCCCCCTGTGACCAAGAACCGAGACTCAGGAGTGCCCAGGTGTCGGCAGGAGTGAGGAGCAAATGATCGAAGAGGTCGCGGATGAGAAAAGACCCAACGGACACACACAACAAAACAAAACAAAACAAAAAGCCATTTTATTGAAAATTAAATTCAAACTTCAAATTAATATTACAATCATGAGAAAAAGGCCAAATAATTCCATTTACAGTTGCAACATAAAATACAAACAGTCCCTTTGAAGTTAAGAGTAAACGCGCCCACCGTCGTGGTCCGTGGCACAGAGCAGGGTTTGTACAATGTGTGCGTGGAAAGCAAACTTTGGGCAACAGCGATTGGAAAAAAATAAAATTAAAAAGCTGGTATTTACACAAAATGCTACAAATATATATATATATATTCTTTTGTTCCACAGACATCTAAAAAATGGTTAAAAAGCACATCCAAAAACATTTGACCTTTATTCAAAATACCTAGAGAACATTACTGTGTTAAACGGGTTTTTTTTTTTTGTTGGCTGATATATCTTTAAAGTATGGCATTTAAAAAGCAAACAGTTATTTGTAAACATGAAGTAGACAGACATCTAACAAAACTCTCACATGGAAAATATTGGGGGGGTTTGTTTTTGTTTTTTAAACACATTATCGTTTGAAGAACAACAGAGTCACCGTTCGGAAGAGCTGTCTTTTATTGATTGTATTGACTTGGGCATAACGCATTGTTTGTGCTGATGCTGTGTTTCTGTGCACGGATCTAGGCTCTGAGTCAGCCCCTTCCTCAGCTTGGAAGGCTCTCTAGCGCCCAGCACACGCTTCTCCTCCCCTCTGAATTTGCAACTGGTGGTGTGGTCCATGGTGGTGTGGAGGTCTTTGCTCGGTTTTAAAGAGCCCTGGTGGGATGAGACTGTCTAAGACAGTTACTCTCAACCTGTGGGTCATGACACCTTTGGGGGTCAAACAACCCTTTCACAGGGGTCGCCCGATTCATAACAGTAACAAAATGACAGTGATGAAGTAGCAACAAAAGCAATTTTACGGTTGGGGTGGGGGAAGCACCACAACATGAGGAACTGTATTAAAGGGTCGTGGCATCAGGAAGGTTGAGAACCGCTGGTCTAAGAGAAAACAACAGTTGATCTGTTTTGTCTCTCAGCTCCCAGCTGGATGTCATTCTACACACTGCAAACCAAGGGCTGCGGTCCCTCTCTGGAGCTCCAGTAAGGTTCAGATTGGGGAGATTAACTGGAATCAGTAGGGAGGTGGCTCTGTAAACCCCGGCAGCACTGACGCTGACTTAATTCCATGGAAACAGTGTTGGCCAGTGTATGGTTCTACGGTAGCAGTATCTGCAGGGTATACTGTGATACTACTGTAAATCATACACTACACGTAGCCCAGTGCAAAGTAAGGGTTCAGGTTTAAAAGAAAAACATAAGAAAAATTTAACGTTCAGGCCAAAAGAGGGAAAATTTTGAATTTTTTTTTTAATGTGGACTACCTTTTGTGGTAGGAGATGGGTGGAGGGGAGAAGTGCTTGAATTTTTCCAAAGGGGTGAGAAAAATTATTTTTAAAGTGTTCCTGGGTTGCTGCCTGCAGCCACTATAACAACATTGCAACATAAAAGCATCCCTAAAATCCCTTCGCATGTGTACTGTAAACTTTTTAAAAAGCCCTTTTAACATTAACAAATAATGCACAGATATAGTACCATTTATTATTATTATTATTAAATAGGGTGCAGCTGGCACTGGTGTTAACATTTTAATGTCAATTCATTAAAATTGAAATGTGTAACCAGACACTGGCTTTTTTAAGTGCTGCTGAAAAACACACACATATTTTATTACATTTAAAAATAAATGGACAGTGGCATGCTTCAAGCTACCACACACAAATAATAAATAGTATCAGTCCCCACTTCCATCTTAATAGAAAAGTGGCTTATTTGGTATCCGTCCTTTAAAAGGCCAAGGTTTTTGTTTTGGGGTTTTTTTTTAGGGGTGGTGGTGGGGTGCTTTGGTTTTCCCTCAATGTTCACTACATTTGCTGCTGCTGCTGTTGTGTTCCGCCCGACAGAACAGAGGAGAACTTCTCCAGAGGGTTTCCTAAGCTGTCATTCTGGCAAGAGCTGATCACCCGGTCTTCCCTCTCAAGATGCAACTGTTGGATTTGAACTGCCAACCTTATCCTTAGCAGCTGAGCTCTTAAAGCAGTGCTCCCTTTAACAGGCGTCGGCATGAATTCTTAAGGGAGACTCCCAGGTAAGAGGGCAGACCTGACTGTGCCACAAGCGGTCCCTTCTATGTAGAGACCCACAATGGAGAGCCTGAGGATGCCTAGGGGGGTTTCTGAGACGTGGTGGCAAAGCTCACAGAGGGGGCGGGTGGGGGCATAAAGTTCAAATGAAGGGGCCCTGGCCTGCGGGGGTGGACTTGGCCTGATGGTGTCAAGACTGGCATTTGGGGTGTGGGGGTGGTCTAGTTGCTCTTCGAGCAGCCAGAGGGCACCTTACAGGTGGGCTGCAGAGCTCTTACGTAGGAGCAGACACCGAACTCCACAGACCCACACACTCCATCACCCTCCCTTCTGAGACAAAACAGCATCAAAGGGTGCGCTGTGGGGACCCGACAGGCTCTGTGTGCCACACAGATCTGCTTACCAAGTGGAATGGGCTTCTCCCATAAGACACTGGCTTGGTTCTGCTCCTTTAAAGGCACATTCTGGAGCAAGCTGGCCGTAGGGTCTTGGGTGAGGCAGATTTGCGTTCCCTGGGTGACTCTTTGGTAAGGCTAGTTGGTTAAGGAGTTCCCCGGCACAAGACTTCTATCCTTTACTTTGCATACCATGATCGAGTCCTTTATCCACACGTGTGGCTGTGCACTACATCTTCACTGTGAAGTCTGCTCTAACTGAAATCACCACAGAATATTTTTCCTGCAGTTTAAGGATTCACATGTGCTTTTTGGGGGGTAGGGGGGGCGTATTGTGTGTTTTCTTTTTAATATGGCAAGAGTCATACTTATTTGAAAAAGCATTAGGAAACCATATCACCCAGTATTTCATGCCTACAACAGGTAATATACGTGATAAGGGGTAAGAGGGTTTTTCGTTTTTGGTTTTAAACCCCTAAGTATTGCTTTGAAGAACAGGCAAAACTGTGTCGGAGGCAATCAATGATCCGAAAGAACTAAACACAACATTTTTCCTTCATACATCGCAAAAATAAGCTACATCTAAAATACTTGGAGATGGAAGTATTTAAAAAAAAAATCACATTGTGTCTGGATGAACTGCAATTGCTTAGCAATGTTTCAGACTTGGCTCTAGCCCACTGAAGAAATTTGTTATTTACTAAAAAGCATTTTTTTAGAGACCGAAGTCAACATATCAATACACTAAGAAATGTGTTCAAGGGTCCAAATGTCATTAAATAATTATAAATATATCTTTAAAGTTATATGACCATTCACGTTAGCAAGTTACCTCAAATTTTACACATAATCATAATTTAAAAAATAAAAAGGAAACAAATAACACACAGCCAAACGCAAACACTATATACCATTATGGCTATCATAAGGTAGTGCCATTTTCAGTCCTGCGTAACAGGAGACTAGGGAGGGTGGAGTGAGGCGGGGATTCCTCTGGGCTAAATGAGAAAAGGGTGGGGGAGCACAAAAAGTAAAATAAAATTCTCTCCTGATCGGTATTTTTGAAGTCACTTTTTTTTAAAGAGGAGAAGGGGGGAGGGAGGGGGAGACTGAACCAAACCGTTCACATGAGTATCCGCTGCAAGTGTGAATGCAAGTTTGGAACAGCGGTGAAGCTATGCTTTGGAATGATGGACAGGACAGTCACGAGGAGCATCGTGCCTCCCTCCGTCCCTCCGTCCCTCCCTCCCCGGCCTTGCACCTGGTCTGGCTGTCAGCTGCGCAGGCTGCACTGGTCCACACACAGCTGCAACCGTGAGGGCGTGTGGCTTCAAAGCCCAGGGAGGAAGTGCTTCAGCTTCACTCTCCCCTTCTTCCTGAGCCCCGGAGTCCCCACTCTCTGAATGGACACGTAGACAGATGATGTCTGATAACCAACCAAACAACAACAACAACAAACCACATGCACCGCTTCCTTGGTGTGCACACCTTTGTGGAAAAAGTTCATCTTACATAGAAAACAAAATGAAACCCGGTGAGGATGGTCTCTCTCGGGCCTTTGGCTTATCAGCATCTACCCTCTTAGATCGCAACTAAAGTGAAGGGAAAAAAAAAATCTTCTTTCAGAAAGAAAAAGTAGGCACTTTGTAGGTAAGCGGATCGATATACATATATACGCTCTCTATCTATATATGTATATATTGATACACTTAGGGTGTGGTTCCCAGGCACCGCTGGGCCACCGCTGGAGGAATTTCAATATGGTCGCCAAACAGATTCATCCATTCTGCCACCGGAATTCAGAACGGTTGGGGAACTGCTGTGGCTCCCGTCAGCGTCAACACCATCACTCTGGTTGGGCAAATTTGGGTTTAATAGCGTGCTGCCATTCGAGGTGGAGGTGCATGGCGGAAGCATTCTGGAAGGAGAGCGGTCTCCCCCCGGCACCATGGGGAACTGATAGGACCCGGACGAGGTGCCATAGTAGAGATACGGAGTGCTGCTGGGCTGGAAGGGTCCGCTCTGGCTTTGGGAAGAGCCCGGGTAGGGTGGTGGCAGGTAGGTGTGGTAGTGAGTGGTGGCGGACATACCGAGGGACATGCCTGAGGTGACTGGCGGGGTGTAAGTGAAGGTGGCTGGGTAGTGCATTCGTGGGCTCGAGAAGCGGCTCTCAGTGAGGGATGAAATGCTGGGGAACTGCCTGGGGTCTGAAAAAGGGCCCAGTTCTGAAGCACCTAAAAATTACAACAGAAGATGGGGGAGGGGAGGGGGGGGAAACATCTGTAAATATCAATCAAAATCACGAGAGACGTTCTTACAAGAAAAAAGAATGAGAGAGAAAACTTTTTAGCTTTCCCGAAAAAGGAACAGCAAGCTCTAAAACAGACCTTCAAACGCACCAGTCGCTTTACAGTCTTTCAGCATTTAGCCGTGAGGTCCCCATCCCCCCACCCACCCCCTGAGAATCCCACAAGGGTTGGAAGACCCACAGGTGCGCTAGGTCATGGAGCAAAACCAACCCAACACTCTGGCCAGGGAGCGTCACTCACCCGGCTTTGAAACCGGATCCTCAAGGGGAGCTTTTCCCCACCCTCTCTCTTTGTTTCTCCTTGTACGTCAGATTCCCAAAGTGATTTTTCATTCTTTCTTTCTTTTTTTTCTTCCACAAAGCCAATCAAGTGTATTCTTCCCAATCCACTCGGCAGAACACCCCCACCCCCCGCGCCCCGATGAGCATCCATTTTGCTGTTGGTGCTCTTGGCAAGGCCATGGTCAATGAAGGAACCTCGGAGAGACACCCGTTCGTGTGGGCCTGCTGCTCCTTGGAGTCTTCCTGCGGGCAACACTGAAATCAATCCAGATTTCAGTGGGACCTGGAACCAGCTGACTTATCTGGGGGATCTATAGGGCGGGCCAGCCCTCTGAACTTCTCCTGAGGGTCATAAGCTAAGTAAGCTTCAATGGTGGGGTTGAAGCTCTGAGTGTCTGAGGAACCGTTGACGTGGCAAGTCTTGAAACGGGAGGCTACCCAACTTAGGCCAAGCGCAAGCGAGCAGCTTTGGTGAAAGGCGGTGTGTCTGTTAGGGCATGCAAGCAGATGGCCCTGCACCCTTCCTAAAGAACGAGCTGGAAGTCACTTTGAACCAGAAACGGACAAGCAAAGGACATTCCCCCTAAAACGCGATGTCTTCTGGCTTTCAGTAGAGCTCACCCTACGTGTCTCCGTCATAGATCACTTTGCTTTCGAACTTCGGAAACCCACAGTCGCTATCGAGCACTGGACTGGAGAAGTTGTTTTGTGAAATGTCTAAAAACTTACGGTTGTGCCCCTAAAAGATTGGGCTGATTATCATGTCATAGAACCAACAGCATTGTTGCACGTCCCTTCCTAGCACTAACACTGGTCTTGTTAAGATTCTGACTGCTTTCCACTTGTTTGGCGCTAACATGTTTGCTTTTCGCGTAGCCTCCAACTAAAAGGGA